ATATAGTTGTGTACGTGCGTGTATACCTAAAACATGCTATATAAAAAACATAATGTTATAACTGCCTATTAATAACTGTGGCAGTATTTAGCCAATTATGTTAGGTTGATGGTTTAAGATTTTGGTAATTTGAAATGATAAACACGTTGAGGGCATTGATAGATTTAAAGGCCACTCTATGGTGGGGTCATGGGTCAGATACAACAGAAGCTCTTTAAGGATGATGAATTACTAACAGCTACCTGCTCACATCGCGATTGACAATCCTTCAACGCTCCAATTACAACCTCTGACAGACGCGACACCATTCTCACATTCTGACGACAAATAAATTTTCGTTAAAAACGAAAAATGTTTCTCGACTATGATAAATTTAATTCGTTAAGTAGTTATACAGAAGATAAATTTAAGTTAAATAATTGTAGACTCGGAAAGACATAACTTCGTTTCCATCTAGATATCCAAGAGGAAAAATATCCTTAAGAATTATTCCATAGAGGATATTTTAATATTTGGATTGACATAGACCTAGAGTAACATACCGTACGGTATGGAACGGTACAGTATGCCAGAATGCCGATAAATCAACAATCATATTCTTGGATATGATGTTTATATATTATATTCCTAATGGAGTTTAATTCCAAACCAAAGTATATTTTAATACAATTATGTAATATAATTGAAGATGAGAAAAGGATTGATGAAAGAAAATTCTGTTAAGCACATAGTATATTTATTTTGTGTTCAGTATATTAATTCCAACCAGAGACACTGCCTTATTTCATGTGTTCCAGCTTCGGGAATTCGAAACGGAGTGTCACTAAACGCATTGTACTCCGTATAGTGTTTTTTAGGCCTCGATAATAAATTCGTCTGTATCTCAATACAGTCAAAAGTTGCTTTCTGACCGACACCTTCCACAACAGATTGTTCAAGACAACTCTTCGTAAATGAAGCATATAAATTAGGATACGATTTGTACCAAATTCAGGATCCATTGATATGTTTTAAGAATGTATCTTATTTTAAAAAATGGCATTTTATAGGCCAATCATTATTGTACAATGTTACTGTTACTTTTACGGTACAATGACTGATATTGAGTCTATATATTTTATATATATGAAAACTGAAAACAAAAAGTTTAAAAAAAGAAGTAAAGAAAAATGATGAAAAGGCCTATATCAAAACATATTGATATATACAGTACATGTTTTGAAAATTGTCTTTACTGACAAAAGAGAGAGAAAAAAACCAGAAGACCCTGAAAAAAGAGAATATTAATGAGGCTCACTAAATAGGCCTATATACAACACATTATATATTGTTGCTATAGTTTGAAGATCAGTGTAAAGAAAAGATTATGAAATGCAATGTATTAAAACTTGATGAGATAGGCCTATTGTTGATTAAAAGTGGTAGTTCACTACAAAAGGGAAAAAATGTTTTAAGAAAGCAACTATCTCCGTTAAAAAAAGTCAAATCCAATTTATCTTATTTCGTTTGGATTCAAAGTTATAAAACTGCAACAAAGAAATAAACTACAAAAAGAAAGG